CGTGCGTGCGTGCGTGCGTGCGTGAGTGTATGTGTGCGTGCGTGTGGGTATGTGTGCGTGTGTGCGTGCGTGTGTGTGTGCGTGCGCGCGTGCGTGCGTGTGTGTGCGTGTGTGCGTATGATTATATTCTTTTCTTGTAGGCCGACGAAAGGCGCCTATTAATTAACGCGATGGCGGTAATTTAGTCACGGATTTCATATTTACCTGCTCAGCGGAATATTGATCTCGGTCGCCGGATAGGCAAGGTGTACGTGAGCCGAGGCGCGAACCAGACAACCACGCGCGTGCGACCGAATTGTGGCCCACTAACGATCGCAGGATTAATTAGGAAGTGTTAGTTAACAGTGGCAGAGTTGAGCGTAACGAACCCTTCCGACGTCCTGCTAAGCCAATCACGCTGACGGCTGCGTAAAACTGTGCAGGTGGCTCACGGATGAGTCGTACTCGAGTAGTAATAAGCCGTAATTGTGTTTATCTGTGATTCGACGATCCCTGTGATGCGTTAGAATCACAGCTGCTTTAGAATGCCAGCGCATATACACATAGACTGTTTAGAATTAGGGGTTTCAGGATTTAGGGTTAGGTCAAAGTTAAAGCTATAGGTATAAGGTAGCCACAAGCTACCTTCCCGCTTCTCACTACGAGGCGTGAAACAGTCGTAGGGCCTGCTAGGTAGGGTTAGGTTTAACGACGGTTAGGTTAGGGTTAGCGTCTGGGTTTGGTTTCTCGTTTGGGTTATGGTTATATGGTTAGAGTTAAGGTTAGGATTATGGTGATGTACGATGGTCATAAAGTAGGATAAAGCGTTTGTTTATATTATGGTGTGTTGTTTTTCATATGAAGCATGTGAATCGTATTTTCAGTTTATAGTGTGGGATACCGACACCAGAAAAGCTGTTTCATCAAGCACACACATTCGCAAAATTGCGGGACGCTAGGGTTAAAGTTAGGGTTAGCCTTTGCATTGGCATTACCGTTAAGACGTTAGAGTTCGAACGTTGTGGAGAAAAGCTTCAGGATTTAAAAATAATTTTTTTCAGTGGTAGGCTTAACACAAGGCTTGAAAATATGGTCAAATGTAGAGTAACGTTTAAGGATATGGTTAATATTGCGATTTGGCTTACTATTAAGCATGTGCTATTGTTACGTTTATAGTTTCATTGTTAATTCTAGGTTTAGGGATTACGGTAGAGATAGGGTTACAATTATTAGGGTTAGGGTTAAAGTAAAAGTTCTGTTAGAGGTAATTAAGGTAAAGGTCATATCGACGTCTAGCCACATGATTAGCTACGTTGACGTTTTATAGCGATTATGTCATTAATGTGAAACTGTATGAGTGCGTGTAGCTGTAAACGCTTAGTAAACTGCTCACCGTTTGCCCTAATTTAACAAATGTTTCCCCGAATCTACGCGCATCGCGGCATAAACGCCTCGCCCTCCAGCATTCATAACGATAATAATTTTCTTAACAATCAAGGCCCAGACTGTGGCAATCAGTGGGGCGCCGAATACTAGAATGGGGCCTAGTATTAGCTAAGATACTCGTGCGTGCGTGCCAAAATGCCAGCGGTATGCTCATTACTCGAGAGAAAGCCACTGACAGCATGAATTGATTGTGCGTAAAGTTGTGTATGTGTGTGTGTGTGTGTGTGTGTGTGTGTGTGTGTGTGTGTGTGTGTGTGTGTGTGTGTCGTGTTGTGTGGTGTGTGTAAGAGAGGGGAGAGAGAGAGAGGGTGTATGTGTGTGTGGTGTGTGTGTTGTGTGTGTGTGTGTGTGTGTGTGTGTGTGGTGTGTGTGTGTGTGTGTGTGTGTGTGTAAGAGAGGGAGAGAGAGAGAGAGGGTGTATGTGTGTGTGTTGTGTGTGTGTGTGTAGTGTGTGTGTAGTGTGTAGTGTGTGTGTGTGTGTCGTGTGTGTGTGTGTGTGTGTTGTTGTGTGTGTGTGTGTGTGTGTGTGTGTGTGTGTGTGTGTGTGTGTGCGTGTTTGTGCGTATAGTGCGCGCGCTATGACGACACGTTAAACCTAGACTTTGTGTAAATAATCTTGCGTTTCCTGACAACGGTCTCGTTCATTGCCCGACTATATTTACATATATTATCTTAATATTGTAAATTGATTTCTCCGTGCGAGTCATGTTTGTTAACCATTCTTTTCATACGCGGAACTATGGTAATTAATCGATTACCTATGCATATACTTGCAGGTACAACTCAACCGGGAATGAACACGCTCCTTTAGAAATCTTCTCAGAGCCGCTTGCAATGGTGGAAGACGGACATTGGACGAAACCGTACTTTGACTGCGGTGGTGGCGACATCTGGATGGTGACATTTTCTTCGCCCATCTTTACTCGTGACATCGCCAATGCGTCGCAGTACATTTTCGGGTACGACCCAACGCGTGTTTATTTCATTAGAACATCTGCATCTCGTTAGTAAATAAGTATCGTTACGAATTCATATTAATTTACGAAAATAATAACGGCATCTATACGCCTTTGTCGTACAGGGTAAATCGTTTGAGCAGCACAAAAGCAAGGGGCATTTAGTGAGTCCAGGAGTGCTGGTGGTGGGGGAATGGGGACGATAAATGAGAGATGATTGCTTAGTAGATCTGACGTTTCTTGTATTTAATGAAGCGACGAGGCGTCCTGGGTCGCTGTATATTAGGCCATAGCTTAAAATAAATTGTTGCTACTACACCATTAACGTGGTTGTCTAAAATATTATCCGTAATACGTATTATACGTAATATATGTATTACGTCGTAATTATCTTCGCGTGGGCCTTAGCCCCATGCAACGCCTTTGGGCAGCAATGAAGTGGGTAGGTAACACGTGGAATACATTCTGGACACAAAATTATTATGGGCTTAGCTTTATATTGCCGCAAAATATCTATGTGTACCGAGGAAACATTATAATCGTAAAATAATCCCTGAGAGCCCCAAAGGAAGATTACCGTCGCGTCACCATGGGAGACGCTGATATTGGTATCAAATTCCAGCCGATGGCTTGTGTTTAAACAGTCTACCTGTTGCCTCACCTAAAAGCTATGTTTTGTTTTTTTGTGAAACAGCCACATTACGATATTTGGCGTAAAAATTTTAGGTAGATAAAATAATTATAAACTCATTTCCCCCGTGTTCCCACTGCTGCACGTGTACTAAGATATCATGTATTATAAATAGCTTAGTGTGGGTGATTAGGGTAGGTTCTTTGATGAGGCTTTGATTCTTGATCTCTTCTATAATATACACGATGAGAATTAACTGCAAGAAAACCTAATATCGCCACGCCGTTAAACCGTATCACATTAGCAACCCGATTATGGAGAGCAGTCTTTACAACGTGCCTGTCGGTGTTTGTCTTAACGCGTAGCGGTGTCGCGACAGTCGACGTCGAACTCACAAACATCGATATCAACCAGTGCGACGCGGAAGAGATGGGGAGTTCCGGGTCGACGACAGCCGACGTATTCCGCAACACTCATCTCTGTCGACCGACGACAAAGGTAAAGTTTAACCTTTGAACCCTTATAACGCGGGAGGTCTGGAGGTGGGGGATAAGGCCAGAATCCTCACTCGTAAAAGAACCCGTGTTACAGAAATCAAAGCACAATGTCAATAGACTTAAAATGACTGCAGGTAGACAAGACAAAGGTACAGGTTAGTACTAGCCGAGTATACACACACGTGCGCGTGTGTGTGCGTGCGTATGTGCATGCACCAGTGCGCGCGACCATGCGTGTTTGCATGCGTGTATCAGTGCGCGCGACCGTGCGTGTTTGCATGCGTGTATCCGCGCGCGCGACCGTGCGTGTTTGCATGCGTGTATCAGTGCGCGCGACCGCGCGCGCATGCGACCACGTCGTGTGTGTGCGTGCGTGTTTGCATGCGTGTATCAGTGCGCGCGACCATGCGTGTTTGCATGCGTGTATCAGTGCGCGCGACCGCGCGCGCATGCGACCACGTCGTGTGGGTGCGCGCGTGTGTGCGTGTAAAATATATGTCAGCAATGTGCATTACGACCGGTTAACACTAAACATCTCTACAGTGCGTGCCGAGAAAGAATCTAGGCTTCATGAGTGGAACATACTTCTGCGTCTGCGTAGATGGCTACTACTTTCCGAACACGAGCGCAGAAGAGAAAGCATTCGTTGGCTTCGACCTACAGCACGAGTATAACCTTCAAAAGAAGTATAAGAACAATAGCTTCTCCACTGGTATGAACTACGTATCGTACACGAGCGCAAACATATCACAACTAAAAATCTCCAATTTCCTGAAAAGTAGCCGATTCTAATAGCTCCAGGAAATTTTTTCGTGGTTTATTTAACAGTAGGGGCCTACTCTTTCGATAACAACATTTATTTACCAATTTTTGCATTGAAATTATAATGAGCATGTTTATTTTACCAATTTTTAGACACAGACAACGATACGAATAATATGACTCAACTAGCTATTACCCGTCCTCCAGACGGGTTTGAGTGGGGTATGATTTGAGGAAGGCGGTTTAACCATTTATCTCTCCCTTTTAGTTGAGGATGTATTTACAGTAAATACTGATATGTAGACTCGAGTCATATATCAATATTTGTTTAAAAAGATTGTATCTAAATATATATAAAATCTGAAATTTTACCTTAAAATTACATACAATTTTTCAAATAAAGGGAAATGGGGTAATTTCATAGTACAATTTCACTTATTTAGATATTATTTTTGAAAATATCATTCTGGTACGAAGCATTATTAATAAGTCAAATTCTTAAAAAAAAGCAAAATGCATTGAGTAGTTTGAAGATATATGTTCTTGAAAGTCAGTGGACGGCGGCGGGCAGGGTTACACCTCCCGTTGTCAAATATTTGCACACACGCGCGCGCACGCACGCACACGCCGCATTCACACACACACGGGCATGCGAAGGCACAATCACACGCGCACCCACGCACACACATACACGCACATGCACATGTATAATGTATTCGCGACGCCCAGAAGGGGCCCCAGCTCGATTCGCGTGAGCACACGCGGCACGGTTTCGGAGGAGATACGGAAAACGACACTTCGGCTCTTTCTACTATTATATAGTAGATGCGCAACTGTACCTGTCGGTAACACTTAGTCACTTAGTTATCATGTTACCGTATCTTGTGTTTCTTTGGAAACTGTACTACACATCGTTTTTTTGGCGAGCATAAGCCCCATTATGTCTCTCAAAGAAATCTTAACATAGACACCAACAATGACAAAAATGTGGGAATTTCATGGTTTGATGGGTTACGTTGGGTTTTGGAGGATTTTTTAAGGAGCTTTTGGTATGGATAGATTTTCTTCTATCGACCGTGTGCGGTGAGCGAAGGCAAACAAAGACAAATGTTTTTTGTTCTTTTACAAAAAAATGTCTGGCGTGTGCGTTAGGCTTAAATATATAACACGACTCTTTTACATTCATTTACACACATTGTGCAGAATGTAACCGAATGGAACATATTTGCTTCGACCCGCGTTTTAAAGATCGTTCGAAATCCTATAATACAGCAGCAAAACTCGATGTTCAATCTTCGGCAGGGTTTCTGTGCCTGCCCTGCTCAGAGGGCTGTGATACATGTGTGGACGACTCGGCGTGCATCGCGGCATCAAACATGATATTTCGGGGAGCTCTGCTAGCTATCGTCTTCCTCGATGTCATCTTCGCATTCATCGTCATGATAGCCGTGTTCCTGTACAGGAAACAAAAGGTACGTTACAGCAGTATCTAGCCAAGGAAATAGGTCTACATGCGGATGACGCACGGTCCTCTTGATAACAAAAGAGAGCTATAAAGCTATAACGTAAGCTATTAAGCTATAAGCTATAAGCTATAAGCTATTAAGCTATAAGCTATTAAGCGTAACTCGATAGTTGAGACGTTGTTTTTCCCTGAGCGTTAACACAGGGATTATATAAATTAGCGCTCCATTTTTCTTCCTCGCGTGGACGCGGTAATTCACCTGTTTATAATTGCCTACAGGTGACTGCGTGTTTTGCTATTCATTGTGTGCCGGTGTAGATTAACCTGGTATATTACCTTACCAAAAGCCTTCACCCCCCCCCCGCGCATATCGTATCGCGAGTAGTCCCAGAAGATAAAATTATTCCTTTGTTGATGCAATTGGTATTTTAGCGCTTTATCGAAGTCGAATTTCAACAGGGGTTAATAAAAACACATATTATTTCCGCTCCTGATTCTGATTTCAAGTGAAAATGAACTGTCTCGCGCATGCGCACCAGCACCGTTGCGATTCCCACTTAATTACGTCGTACCTGACCTGCTGCGTCGCTGTGTAAGCAATGCAAGTATTCGCGGAGAATGCGGCAGCGTTCGCTCTGCGGCTTTTTCACGGTCTTTAATAACGCAAATACCTGCGAGAATAATCACTCGTGTGTGTACCGATCTTTAAGCCTCTACTCACCAATCTGTTAGTTATTTGGACCTGGTTTTCTTATTGTTCCGATAAGCTACCCCAAATTAAAAACAATGATTATCTCCAATGGCTGGTTTAGTGCATTTGAACAGCATTGAACAGCATTTGAACAGCATTGAACAGCAGTTGAACAGCATTTGAACAGCATTGAACAGCAGTTGAACAGCATTTAGACGACATTTAACGCGATGTTAAAAATAAATAATCTTTATCGTAGCAAAATATGTGTAAACAATAACATATTTGTGTAATAAATGACAGGAGGAAATAACCATGCAATTCATTTATCTTAATAAGAATACTCTACACTCTACTCATTTTTGTCTTGCTCTTTTGTTGTTCTGCTATATTGCGAGGCTATAGCAAAAGCCCATGTTCGCAGACAATGCGGAAATGTGCGTATGCTCGAATGTTACACATAGAAGGCTGATCGTTGTCGCCAACGCTATTGATTACGAATAGGTCGCCCACTTTATTAGTCAAATCTTTGTTCTACCGACTACAAGTAATCAATAGTCCAGGGTCGCAGCAATTCTTTCGGGGTAGACTATGTCTCAGAGTCTCAGCATCTATGAATTATCCATGCACGCATAATTACATATTTAAAATACATATTAACAAAATTATATTTACAAAATTATATATACAAAATAATTACATTTTTTCGTGTTATGAAATATTTATATGCGTGCACCGTAGAGCCTTTGCTATGAAAACGTCAAATTTGAGACCTAGTAATGTTTTTGTGTGAAATATAAGCATTACAAAACGTGACAATCGCATTTTTAAATGATTTTCCAAAAATCCTATCCTATTTCTAAATGGAATTTACTTTTCAAACAATTTTTGAATGGGCATAGCAAGAAAAACATTTACGCAGTGAAAACCTCAATAATGGCTTAATTACTACATACAATAGGCCAACAACAACTTACAATAGGCCTAATTACTGATATCGATTTAGTCAGGAACGATATGTTCGGACAGTTGAAATGTGACATGGCAATAGCTGCACCTGCAAACTAAACCAACCCATGCTTTTAATCCTAGAGATATTTTAACATCGCGTAGACGCGGCTATAATGTACTATAATACATAATCTAGGTTTTAAGCCTTTCACTTCGTAATCTTAAATTGACTACGTCACGAATTTTCTATGGTGTATATTTGAAAAATGTTGTTGCCATTTTTTTACATTAAAAGTAAGTACTAACGGGACTAAATGTATCGTCAAATTCTTACCTGATAAGATTGTTTCTCAACTAGGTAAAAATCAAAAAAACCTGGACGATTTGATATGATGATCCTGACATTAATTGCTTGCTATGGGCTATGTATGAGTCACGAGTGTTTACATTGAACAATATAGTAAAATAGGAAGTATAATGCAGCAATTTAACAATAAAAAGTGAACATAATTACTTACATTTTGTGAAAAAGTGGAAATATTTTTTGTACTTTTACTATTTACGGTGACGTAATCACTATATTCACGCTATATCGCAACTGTGATCTAATTTCTATACATACATGTTGTTAATAACTTCAAGGTTATAACATCGGCATCAACAGCAATGATAACAACAGCGTGTGTCATATACTATGCTTAATTTAATTCGTAAACGCGTAACGCCAAAAAGTAACATCAGGAACAGCAGCCACGCATGTTTTGCATCAAGTTACGTTTCTGCGCGCGCGCACGTCGTGTTCCATTGTCATTGCAAGCTGCTGATTAATCGATACTTAATTGGCCGTTGCGCAGATCATCAAGGCGGCCAGTCCTTTCTTCTGCTACGTCATCATCGCCGGCATGTTTTTGATGTGTGCCGAGGTCATCATTGTGTTCTTCAAACCAACCGACCTTCTCTGCGAGATGCGACCTTGGTTTCATCACGTCGGCTACTTCACTACGTACGGCGCGCTCCTGCTGAGAACGTGGCGGTAAGCACTCCCGTTGCTGTTGACCACTGCAAATAATGGCATGAGTTGGATTTGCAGCTTTGCCTACGTTTCTTGTACTCCAAATATGAGCTCGCTATGGAAAAGACATTGATGTCTTTTCCATGGTCAGCTCATATTTGGAGTGCAAGAAACGTAATAATAATCATCATCATCATCATTATCCGCGCAAAAATAGGTGATCAACGATCAAAGGATAGATTTCAAAACTCGTTCTGTATACACTTCTATCTACTTAAGTAGCTATTCTTGTGTTGCAGAACCAGTTGTCATTATTTTGTTGAAAAAAATCTTGCAATTTTTATCTCATTAGTGTGCGAAGAGTAGCTGTCAGTTACGCAGATGACATGTTTCCTCATTATCGTACGAGAAAAATTAGCTAAATTGAAGCTCAACTAAGTTCTAGAGAATAGAATAGAAGCACGTTGAAGCTTCGTTGAATCAACTTTTATCATTCAGATAATTAGCATCATTGAATCCTATGCTAATCCATTTTTTCGATGTCAACATCGTTTATCGTTCTGTCTATGTTGCAGGATTGCGGCACTCTTCAAGGTGAAATCTGCCAAGCAAGTGAAACTTGGCGACAGTGCTTTGGCCAAGCGCTTGCTACCTATTCTAGGTGTCACCATCGCCTACCTGGTCGCATGGCGGGTCAGCAGTCCGCCCTACGTCTACACCATAAAGACACCCGATGATCTCAAGTTGTATTACTGTTCATCTAGTTGGTGGGACTATGCAGCTATTTTAGGTACGTTGTGGTTGAATCAGCCGCGTACGTGTCTTGTTTTGAGTTGACTTTAAAGATGCATTATTTTGCGTTTGTGGAGTTTAGCAGAACGTGTAATATATATAATCGTGTTTAATAATTGATTTTTATTGTTCTTTTGTAGGACAGTGCCTTTTCCTGCTATGGGGCGTTTACCTGTGTTACAGCGTTCGGAAAGCGCCATCTAGCTTCAACGAAAGCAAATTTATATCTTGGGCAATTTACAATACCATATTCATGAACAACTTCTTACTAATTATAAGGTGAGAAATAAATTGTGCGCGTATGCGCTCATGCGTGCGTGTGTGTGTGTTGCGCATTTTGCATGGGGCGCTTACTTTGCCTAGCGGGGTTTACGATTAATTATTTAAAATTAAATTTTGCTTCCCTTTGTGGGGTTTCGTCTTCATTTAGATAAACGGGAGAAGCGAGGGCGAACGAACGAATAGTGCGCTTTACCATTTATACAAGGTGGTATAATGGAATGCACATGTGTTTATATAAATTTTTCTTCACAGGCTGGTTATGCTTGGCTCCCTTGGTCCAGATCTGATCTACTTGCTGCACGTTCTACAACTGCAAGTTCCATGCACCATTACACTTTTACTCATTTTTGTTCCTAAGGTAGGCAATTACCAGGGTATAGCCCCGTATAGCGCAAACATCACTGGAGCAACATCACGCGGTGTAAAACGCCAAAACAAATGGTTATTTATAAATATTGGCTATTACAACTTGTAGTTTAAAACTGGTGATTCATGTATATATAGGATATACACTAGAGAGAGAGAGAAAGAAAGGTGGAAGGAGAGAGTACGAATCCACTGCATCGACTACAATGTCATATTCTTCCGTAATAGAATGCACGGGGCTCTGTTTGTGGTTATCTGGCATGGGTAATTTATTTTAACAAGTGAATTAAATTGGTTTAATGTTAAACTATATTAATTGTATATGCGATGTTATGGGACACCGACGTAAACGGTAATTACTATAGTGCCTAATGAAATGAAATGAAAGTTGTTCAAAAATGACAACGAAATATGCTATTTATATTATTACATGCATTATGAGTACATAACTGTTATGTTCTGGGATTGTATCTGTGATGCCATAATTTGGAAAGATACTTCCCCGTGTTACTGCTAATCTCTCGCTGACAGCTTATAAGTTCTTTACTTCCATCGGTTTTTAACTAAAAATAACATCGGCGCGGACCATGATTGTTTGATCGTAATTTTGTGATTTTTTTGTAATTTTTTTGTGAATCTCTTGTAAATCTTTGTAAATCTTTGTTAAATTTTTCGTAATTTTGATCTTAATTTATTGTTGAATTTTAACAACGCGGTCGCTATCTTTCAGTTCTACATGATAGCACACGAGGGTCCGGAAGCTGAAGCTGGCACGGGAGTCACGGGAAGGCAAAAAGCGTCGGGAATGTCAACAAACAAGGTCACGCCCGTGCAACCAGCCCCGGGTAGCTCGACCGGCGAAGAAAGCATTAATAAGTGATAAGGCGAACATACGAAGACTATTATTTTTCTTTTGTAAATTACGAATAAAGCTCACTTTCAGAGCATATAGCTTAATTATATAACAATACAGGCAGATTTTATTGCTACCCAAAAAGCTTTCGTGGTTAACATGACTCCAGTTGTGGAGGGAATACAGACATGCTGTTGCAGATGAAAGTTGTTCAACGAAATCTAATTTACTGACTCAGAACATCAATAAAATAACTCAGCTTGAGCTTTTTCTAAAATACACAAAAAGACTGTACGGGGACCCTAGAGCATGTCTCCCACGACATATTTCTAAACCAACGGTGTAAGGAATGCATTCTGGAACATCTTGTGGTATTCACAATATAAGATTAAATAAGGAAAATTGATTGAAACACTCAAAATAATGTACGACTATAAAAATTCTATAATAATAATGTCTAAGCAAAACAAGTCATTTACTCGCAGGATCTGCCATTGCTTACTGCCAATTAAGTCCGTTTACTTTATATTTTTACCCTCCGCGAAGCGGCATAAAAATTCGCGGAGCCCACCGCTGCCCTTGAATCAAATGACTGCACTCCCTCCAACATAACCTGTATCAGTATTAGATTAGTATGTTGGTATATATATATATATATATATATATATATATATATATATATATATATATATATATATATATATATATATATACTGATGATGACATGATCATTGTTGGAAGCTCACGGTCGTTGTTACGCTTGTTTTGATGATATAATTTGATCGTGTGTGGCTGCATTAAAAGCAAAATGCTATTCACAGAGAAAATTAATTATCCTAGTTGCGTTATTACACGTCACAGAAAGCTACAAAGGAAAGCATTTAGTAAATTTGCATAACTTTGGCATGATATGAGCAGATGTAAGGAAGCTATTGATCATTCATCGTACTCGTTACTGCTGTACAGCACATCAACATGTAACCTATTTCGCTTATTTTAACGTTAAATCTTTACCCATGAAAATACAGATGCCAAGGCGTGGGAATGCGCGACATGGACATTTTCACCTTTTCTTGAATCTAACTATCTCTTGATTATACCAAGTGCAAATTTGAAGTGTCATTTTGAGGCCCCCACTGACCTTTGACAACAAATTTTGTCAACCAACCTAAGCATTATTATTTATGCGCGTGCTTTATACCTATACTATACCCATAGGTGTATAATTAATGTACAGCTTTAACTAAACGCTATCTGACATTACACGGGGCTCCTACTGAGAAATCAACATAAACGCTTCTATTTTCACAAAAGACCATATATCCACATAAAGGTGTATAGTACCACTGCTACGGCTGCTGCCACTACTACTACTACTACTGCTACTGCTACTGCTACTACTACTACTACTACTACTACTACTACTACTAC